TCTGCGATGGTTGGGAGCCAGCAGAGGTGCATGGGAAGCTCAGTCATTAAAGGATTTAGCTTCCTTTATTGTACATCAACTTCCATATTTCAGTCCTTTGCTTCTTAATAACAACCTCCAGCTAAAGCCTGCAGAGTATATTGATTTTTTTTTTTTTTTAATTTTTATTTTTTGGTCCATGTTGAAGTGAGCTTTACCTGTTCTGATCCTGTGGCACTTCTGCCCTTCTGGTGGCAGTGAGTGGGACATGGTAGCTCTCTGCTGTCTAGTGATGAGAGTGGATTTTGGTATCACTGGGGTTCCACACCATGTACTCATCGCTACTGCGACACCACAGCACACCCAGTTCGGCGTGATGGGAAGTGTTGTCCAAACGCCATTCCTGGTCAAGTCAGGTCTTGTTTCATGGGCAGGTTTCAGCTCCTTCAGAGGAAGATATTTCTGCCTTTCAGCAGCACTGGGTGCTGTAGCAGTCAGGGAAAAATGACGAGTCCCCAAACACTCTTGCGCAATGACCCACACTCCACAGCAAGCAAAGAGGACCAGTCGGTGCTTGGTGCTCTGCAGCAGATCAAACGCTCTCCCGTCAGCCCTTGTTTGCACAGCTGCCATGCTCAGAAAAGCCACCCGAAGTCCTTGGTTACCCTATTCAGTTCATTCCTCCAAGTCCTAGCTAGCAATTAGATCATTGGTTCATATACGCTGTAGTTTCTTATATTCAATCTATAAACATGTATATTAGATTATTAGATTCAATTCTTATCTATACATTAGGTTATCTGTAAGTATTTTTATTAGATTTTTATATTTAATCTAATCTACAGTTTATAGTTCACGCATGTTATGTTGCTCAGGTACAGCACTGCCCCTGTTTGCTCATGTTGCTGACACCTCCGTAGAAGCACATGAGCAGAATCACAGACTGGAAAGGCCAGAGGGAAAATCCTATAATTTTATTCAGTTGCATCTGCATCATGCCTTGTGGCTCGTGTCTGCCTGCACAGCTTTCAAACCAGTGCTGCTCTGAATTTGATGAATCTGTCATTTCTTTTCCTAGTTTCTTACTAGGATTAATCACTCCTTTTTTTTTTTTTTTTTTCTTTTTTTTTTTTTTTTTTTCCCCTATACTTATATTTCCCTGATTCTCGCTTCCAGTTATTTTTTCCCCTTCTTTGTCCCCTGGACTCCAGCAGCTCCTGGGTCTTGTAGCCGAATCTCACGGGAGGTGGCACCTTCCATTTGTGTCAAACACAAGGGGATTTCTGGGGACACAGTGGGGTGCGGGAGATGGAAGCAGCACCTGGGGCTTGCCAGGAAGGAGGGAGAGCAGCCAGAAAAACATCAAGTGTGAGAAAGTGGAGGTTGAAAGAGTGATAAGGGAGATTTCCTCAGATGGATGTTTTCTTGTTTGTAACAATTTATATAAACTGATCTAAAATGCTTTATCCAAGCCCACGTTTTGATGTTTGCTTTTGGGGCATTGTCACCACTGTGCCCCTCCAAGAAAGGAAACTGGAATAATGAGTCCCCCTGGCTTTGGGCAATCTGCTTCATCCTCCCATCGGATTGCAGATAACCCCTTTAGCTTTTCTGCATACTGCCTTCCTTCTGCAAAGTGAGAACAGCACCTTCGAAAGAATAAACCCCAGCAGGTGCTGAGGAGCTCAGGTAGCTGGGTGAGTATTTCTGCTAAGAGAGATCACCGTGAGGCTGCACAGAGGCGTTTTGAGCAGCATGAATCCCTGAACCTCTGAGATTCACGTGGTGCTTCTAAATGGGGATAAAAGCAGAGTTCAGTAAGCCATCCCCAAATCCTTCCTGATATGTGACCATCAAGTAGCTGCTGCTGCATGGTGTTTTTCTCATTTCTTGATTTACCTGAGCATCTCTGCAAGCCAGGAGTATCTGTCCCCATTCCCCACGTGCCTGGTGCTGCTGAGGAGTGCCTCACACCTGCCTTGCTCCCCTCTGGGCTTTGCAGGGTGGACAAAACACCACGTCAGTAACACACCTGATCCCACAAATCCCGAGGTGGTGTCGTAAAGAACGGTGTTCAGCCAGGGAAGCTTCATTGTTTTGTAGCAGGACTCCAGGTGATCGCTCTCCCATATTTTAAAGTAATGAAAGGCTTGCACAAACTCTTGCAGATTAAGCAAAGAGCAGCAGCGGCTGCTGCTGGCTGCAGTGACCTCTGCTGGAAAGCTCACAGCTGCTCGGCTTCACCAGCCCAACATGCAGCTGGATCTAACCCATAGCCTTCTGCCCGAGCTAGCTCCATTGATTATTGTCATTTTCTAATTTTGAATTCCATTTTCCTTTAAATAGCGTATCGTTCGGGATTCCCTCTGAGTATGGAAATGTTGTGTGAGCCAAGCGATGTGCGCTTTGGCAGGAACATTAAGCACTGCGTAACGGCAAGGTGAAGGCCCTGCTGATCATGGGGAGGCTGAGGCCAGAGCAGAAATAAATGCCTCTGATCATCACAGAGAGCCTGTCCAGTGCCAATGGTCGATGGGTCGATGGGTGGCTGCTGTGGCTGTCTGTCACCACCTAGAACATCTTCTTCCAAACATCTTCATCCCTACAGGGTGACTCCTTTTATTCTTTGGGGGTGATTCAGCTTCTGCTGCCTTCTTTCCCTTTCCTCTTGGGTTTTCTGTCCCCTGTCTCGCTCCTTCGTTCTGCTTTCTTTTTTCTCCCTGCGTCTTTTGCCAAGGAATTGCTTTAAAGCTGAGCAAGTGCATCCGCCTTCAGACAGTGCAGCAGCACAGGGCCCATTTGCTTTGCAAATGAGGAAAGGGAGAAGGTCTTGTGGCAACCCTCAGCCTGCAGTGCTGTGTGTCTGATGGGCTCTTCTCTGCCCTCTGCCACCCCAACTGCTCGTCTTTGTGGGTGCTCCCCCCCGTTACCCACAGGCGTGCAACTGCTAGGTGTTGCTGGCAGCTGCCTCACAGGGCTTGGGTTGAGTTTGGAGAACCTCTGAGGTTCTCAAAATAAAAAGGAGGCTCTCGAAATAGAAAATAAAAATAGAAACGCAAAGCATTTGATTTGCCACACACATATAGAAAGGCATTAATATATGTGCGCGGTAAAAATGTGCTGCAGACTACGTTGGAGGCTTTAAACAGCTATCACTACTGGTATTAAAACCACCTTCTCTGTCATGATGGTATCAGGTACACAGACAATCACATGCCTGTGCATGTGCATAAAGGAAAACGAATAAACACACACGAGAGTTTCAATTAAAAATAAATATCTGCTGGAAATGCCTTTTGGAAGCTAAGAGTGCCTTCAGCTCACCGAAACAAAGCAAAACTGTCCTTGCCCTAATTGCAACCCTTAAGGGACCGTACAAAGCCAAGTGGGTGGTCTATTGGTTTCCTGCTGTCAATAAGAAGAACTTGATTTGTGATGCAGTCTACCAGGAAATTTTGCTAAAATATCATGGGATTTTCCTGATATTTAAGCAAAGCGAAGAGCCTACTCACGTATTTGTTGCTCTGACATCCTGTAGCGTATTGTATTGAGGCTCACTTGTTGTTGAAGTTAAATTTCCTGTACATGTAGGTCCTTATATGAAGACAGCTTTTGATGACTGATTGTGGGCATAAATTCAGGTCAGTCGTAACCTTTCTGGTGAATTCAGAGGAAATTGGATTAGTCTCTGTTCTTACGGGAAAGACCCTGCCAGGCACTGGGGACCTTCTGCTCTCAGCATCATCACACAGACATTGGGATGCTTGGGAGTGCTGAGGACGAGGTCTTGACACATAATTAAGCTTTTTAATTAATCTTATTGAACCTTGAGACATGTAGAGAGCTCTGCATTTGCTGATAAGGCACTTTTACCTTCTTTCTGAGCATGTCCATATGCTGTTTAATAAGCAGACTGTGCATGGCATTTCCCAGCTTTCTCTTGCTCTTAAAACAATTGTCTGTAATTGGTGTAATTAATATTCTGCCCCTGGAGTTGTACTGGTTGTCTCTTTAGGGCTTGCACAAGTTAAATGCATCCTTTGGAAATTGTTTGTTAAGTATTTAAGGAACAAACCCAGAGTGGCTTTGCTCTGAGTAGTTAATTATATGTATGTTTAGAGAGATGATTTTTCTCTTTAAAGCTACCATTTTGACAAACCAGAGGTCCTTGAGGCTTGGTGGGAATGACCCATGCCCTTCGCCCACCTGCTGGGCTGTATTTTAACCCTGGTTTCCTTTAGAAGTGAGGTTTATGTCACTGCATGATCTGCCTGTGCATGTCCCTGGTGAGAAGTGTCAGCGGAGGCTCAGCCCTTAGGAGACATCAGAAAATCCACGTGGCAGAGCACCAAATTCAGTCACTTTTCAGAAATCCTGTGTTTATGTAACTGTGTTCAGAGGGAGAAGAAAGCAATTCTATGGAGACTGAAGCAATTCTCAGGGGTGATGATTTGAAGGATTTCTTGCTCCGTGTCATGAGGGTGTAGAAAACCTGCCAGAAGCCTTTGGATGGAAAGCATGCTGTGCTTAATAACACTTCAGGGAAATTTGGGCATACAGACTGGGTGTGACATCAGAGTGGGCCGAATTCAGTGGGAAGGGGCATGGAGCTGTCGTATGGCCTCTGTCCACATGCTCCAGCTTCTGCATGGGGGCAAATCCCTCCAGCCCCCACCCTGCCTCCTTCCCCTTGCACCCAGCTTTGCTGCTGTGTGGTGACTTCAACCTCCAAGCAACCATCTCCGTTCACCTGACACAAGGTCTTTAAACCTTTAATGTCCCAAATACCTAACCATTGAACGTTTTGACCTTGCAGTAGATTGAGGGAATTTTCTCAGAGTAATAACAGAATTCTGGGCTGTGAAGCACTTGTGACTTTATTTTGGTCAAGATCCTGTTTTATGGTGCTGATTGGAGCACTGGCAAGTTGTGTCTGACTAAAAGTAGCTTTCTGTTTTGCAGCCCCTTTTTAAAAATCTCTGTTTCATCTTTTACTTACTCGTCTTATGTTATTTTTTCAGGATCAAGCATGAAAATATAGTTGCCCTGGAAGACATCTATGAGAGCCCAAACCATTTATACCTGGTCATGCAATTGTAAGTACTGAACCTAACCAAGTTTCTGTGGCAAATTTGCCAACTCTTTTTGTTCTCATTTTGTTCTTTATCTGAATAGATGAGATAAGTGAGAAGTATCTGTCTTGTGTGCTGCAGTCTGCAAAATCTCTGGCTGGTGTTTAAAATAAACCTTCAGGTGCGATGGGCTGTGTTGTTGCAAAATTGGGAGCTAAGGTGTCTTGTGAATGGTCTTGCCATTAAATTAAATCGGAGTAAACAGGGGATCCCTAAGGGATCAGAACTGGCCCCATATGCATGGAATTGCTATGCATGGTTTAGTTCCCTTTTGTCTCAACGGATACCTGGGCTGTACTGAGCAAGAGCTAACCCAGGATGCCACCATGTGCATGGGTGGTAGATTTGCAAGAAAGCTTGTCTCAGCAGCAGGGCCATCTCATAGCATGTTCCTTGACATATATTTCTCACCAGAGTCCCTTTTGTTCCCCATTTTCCCCCCACACTGAGCCTGAGCAGTACAGGATCCCACCAGATGAAGTGTTGCGGCTGACCTAGCCCTCCTGTCACATCCACTTGGTGGGAGGAGGGAAGTGATGCTCATGCTGCTTTTTTTTTTTTTCTTTTTGAAATCAATTAGAAAATATGACATGAAGTTAAAATTTCCTCTTACCATCTTGCCTCTCTCTTCTTCAATGACGAGGTCACCTGAAACAAAAACGGGGCAGACATAGGGCAGAGGGATAAAGTGCACCTGTGAAGAGCCAGATGTGCCATAGGGGAGCTTAGAGCATCTGACAGAGGCAGCTCTGGAGTTAAATACCCTGCAGGAAGCTGTTGGGGACCAGATGTCATTAATAGTTATCCTGCTGGCAGTGTGGGAGAAATACTGCCCTACGCATTTTTAGTTTGTGTTTGTAGTCCTACGTTTCTGCCCAAAATGCTGCAAAACAATTTGCACAGGCACGTCAGTGTTATGCAAATTCCAGCACGCCAGCTGGATTGTGGGAAGTACCAGTTTCATGACCAGCTGATTTACAAATCCTTATTTGTGTTTCAGTAATTACTCCTAGTTATTATTAACTTGCTTAATGTAGAGTAACCCTCACTTTTCCAAATTTCTTATGTCCATCTTGGCTTATCCAAGATGTAGGGCTGTAATCATAGGTAACACTAAATATGTTATTATAAACAGAAAGGAATAGAACAGTTCAGCTGGAAAGGACCTTCAGAGATTATCTCATCCAACTGCCTGACCACATCAGGACCACCTCTGGACATCGAGGGCATTGTCCAGATGCCTCTTGGCCACTGACAGGCACAGGGCATCAGCCATGTCACTAGGAAGCCTATCCCAGTGTGCAACTACCCTCACAATAAAGTTTTTTCCTGATGTCCAGGCTGAACCTGCCCCAGTGCAGATTTGTGTCATTCCCATTTGTTCCCATGTGCATCGCTGGTGACCAGGGACAGAATTTCAGCCTTATTGAAATTCTATTTGCTCCCAATTCAACACTTAGCTAAGGAACTATTCCTCCAGTCATAGCTGTATTTGTAAACCCAGACAAATGATTTATTTCCCAAGGACCAAGCATTTAGCTGTTGTAAAGAGGCATGGTTTCACCAAAAAGCATGGTGGTGGGACGTTTGGCTGAAGTCAGCAGCTGGGAACCCATCTGGAGGGCTCAGGGCTGTGGCTTCTTCTTCAACTGGGATGAAGAATAAAAAATTTGGGAACATTTTGGTTGAATGTGAGCACATATCTGAGTGTGACCAAGTGACAGCAATGTAAACTCCCACTCATGCAGAGCCTGTGTGGTGAAACTCGTATGTGTTGTGCACTTAATGAGCCTCAGCTATGGGGTAAAACACATTAGTGTAAGATTATTTTATTAAAGACAGCTAATACTGGGTCAAGTTGTTTTTAGCCCTACTCACTGCTGCAAACCAAGACAAGGCTCTGTTGTCCTGTGTTCTGGACAGGCTGTATCCTAGGAATAATCTTCTGTGCTCTTTTAGAAAAGGGTTATGCAGTGCCAAGGTGGAGAGGATGAGAGCATGGTCATCCTTGTCACCGTGGGCATCACACCAAGGATGGTGCAACCTCTGCACCCCTGTTCTGTTCTGAGTTTCCATCAATAGCTGGGATTTGGGGCTGCATCTCTGCAAAGTTCAGAAGACTCAGAATCAGTTCTGCATGCCTCCTTTCCCGGTTTCCATCAGGGAGAAGGCATGCATGAATAATCTCTTGTTTCCAAGGTAACACCAACTTGTTGATACAATAGCTCCGAAGCATTGCATGGCATGAGGTATCTATTTGTTTACATCTCTGCCCTATTTATTATTAGATTCCTCGTGGGTTTTGTAGCTTCTGATTTTTTTGTACAATTCTCCTAATCGAGGCAATTGCTATGAACGTTTAAAACTGGGGTTTGGTGTGAAGTAGAAGTGGTTGTGATCAAGCAGGTTCTAGGAAGCCCCATTAAGATAAAAATAATAGAGGGTAAAATTAGGACCAAAGACCGGTATCATGGGCAGAGCAGATCTGAAATCTACGTGCCCTTCTCCATGACTCACTGCTTTCTAAGTGGGCACTTATTCACAATTGTCAAAGGAGATTTTCTGTTGCACGGGCAGCATTTTCAACACCAGCCTTCAGAGCACTCCTTGCAGTTTTGGGGAAAATCCACATTACAGCCCCTGAGCATCTCATAGCTCACCGTGGGAGAAGGCTGTTGGAAGCACTCCATACCCCTGTGTGTGTTTACCCTCTAGTACATCTGCTATTACTTGAAAGGCGTGCTTGTTAGCCAGCCATCCTAAAGGATAAGTATTGCACCTCATTTGCTCTGTCAAAGATATGGGCAGGCACACGTGGCAGCGTCTGTAGGAAAGGAGGTGAAGAGGCGGCTGCCTGCATCTACCTGACACTTAATTTATTCCTGCAAGTCCCTCTGGGAGCTGTTCCCAGGTTTAGGTAGCTGTTGGTGAACATGCTTTGTGTTTCCTGGCATGTTCTTGTGGAAATCTCACCTCCAGCTTTGGTTTCAAGCCCTTACTTTTACACACATTTTATACAAGCCATCATAAAACTGTTTTGTCCCAGCCTTGTTACTGCAAGGTAGACCAGAGAGCAGGTCAGGGATCTCCAGATCTGACAGCTCAGATTTTCACATGCTTTCTCAAGGCATTTACCCGTTTCTTAGAAATGGCTGGGCCATTATTCCTTCTTTTATTTACCTCAAATACAGGATACCTCAACCCAAGAACAAAGATAAACACCAAAATACCCTGAAGTTTTCATTCGTTCTGGATGCTGGGTGAGATTTCCCCAGAGGATATCAGAGAAGAAAGGGGAAAATAAAGTAATTTCAGAAATAAAAGCTCTGTTGAACTATGTCTTGACATGACAGTAAACTTTGTTAGTGAGCAATTGCAGGTTGCTGCTGGGTCCACCTGGTAAGAATTACCCCACCTGTATTCTGCCTTGCTTCATCTTGCCAGTATAAGGAAATTTCCTGTTGTTAGATATTGTATTGTTAGATACTAACATTTCATTGGCATAAACGGTCTCTTTGGATGTTGATGATTCATCCCCTGCATGCTGGAAAGTCATGCGTAAAAACGGATTTACATAAACATGCACTTTCCGTCCAAGCACTATGGGACCGTCTGGATGCGCTGTTTCAGAAGGTGCTGCCCGTGCAGGTCAGAGCAGATCCCCAAAGCTCGGCTCTGACTTCATCAGTATTTTTTGCCTGCATCAGGGCGTGAAACAGCAAAGTCTGATCTCCTGCAGGTCTGTGTGCGCCCTCCGTTGGGCATGGGCCATGCACGAGTCCCCTCCATGCCTTAATGGAGATGTGTTGCTCACTGCCACAGCCAAGGGGCTGGAGCTGTTGCCTCTCCAAAAGTATATGGGCCATGTTAAAAATCAACGATGGTGTGAATTTCCTTGCTCTCCTTTATTCAGCCATTTTCTTCAAATGTGTAAGAACGTATATTTTTGGCATCTCCAATCCTCTGTTGAAGTTTGACCGATGGGTCAGAAGTCAGTAGGGTTGACAAAATGAGATAGACAGACATCAACCTCATGTGCCTCACTTCCTTTGGAAAACTGGCTAAAAAAAGGTCTAACAGGCACTATGGCATTCACCTGGCCTGTCTTTAAAAATCTCCAGTCACACTCTCCCCAGGGAATCAACACCACTGCTTAATGCTGATGGGCATGGAGCATTCCCTAATTACTACATCTTCCAGGCTGTATTTTAAACTTATGCTGGAAGTCTTATTTCTCTAATTCCTCATGAAGGTAACAAGGCTGTTCAAATGGCTAAATGTTACGCCAGCAGGCCATGGAAAGCATATAGCTAGGTAAAGTACTGATTAAACCTCAACACCCACCTCAGAGTTGCTCTGAACTTTTTTTCACGCCAAGCATAGTGCCAAATTCAGAGACATTTTTAATAGTAGGGGCTCAGAACATTTGCAACACCAAGCTTTGCAACACCAGAGCTAACTTTTGAGATGTTTCAGAAGGGCATGGGGGTTTCCAGCAGCACTAAAGCCTCAGAGCTGAGAAAAAAGGTGCATCGTCCATGGTCTGGTTTGAGATCTTTGGGATCCCGAGAAGCGAAAGCTCCATCAGTGGGCTCCTTGGTGTCTGTACAACCCAAGAGTGACCTTCTCTGTAGAAGGGCTGTTTTACCCAGATCCTGTCAGTCTATGTTCCTGATTCCCGAGGAAGCTGGAGGATTTCCCCCAAATGAGGTTGTTTGAGGCCGTGTTGTTACTGCTCAGGGCAAGTTTTTATGGAGAGCAGCCTGCAGCAGCTGACCCTGAAATGCTTCTCTCTACCTCTGCAAAAACCAGCCCAAACTGAGCTTAATATCCTGACCTCAGGGGTTTTCCAGCTTGACATTTAATTCTGCTGCATTATTCAGATTTCCAGCAAAGAAAAGCCAAGGTGATGGGGACTCCCCCAGAGCTCATGCACGGAGAGCCCAGTCTTTTGCAGGCCCAGG